TAGTATTGCTACTAAAGCAATACAGAACAAACAAACTTTTTAGTCAGAGTACAAAGGCAGGAAAGGTGGGCAGAAAGAATGATAACAAAACTGAAAACTGGAACCGAAACTTTCACAAGAGAGATTAAAATAAGACTTAAAATAGATGGAGTCCATAAAAGGTATTAGGAGACTACATTCTAAAACAGAAGCTGATCACTTTGCAAATAAACATTACATGTAAGTAACATCCAGAAGTTTTCAGAATGAACTGAAAACAGTACTAAGAAATAAAATCTTTCTTGGAATGGTAGTTCTTGTTGTGAATAATTCCAGTAGGTCTAGATGCCCAAATACACAGCAAACAGTCTGTAGGACTTGCAAGGACTGGTAAGGTGAAAATATCAGGTGATCAGAAACCTGATTGTCACAAATGAGAAGGTCTTCCAAGAAATGGGTGGGACCTATGTCCCAACTAGAGCTTACTCACAGAGGTGAACTGTAGGAAGTATATCAAAAAGGGTAAAAAAAATCATGCTTAGAAGGAAATCAAAGACTTACGGTCCAAAGGGGTGTTCAGCTGTCTTTTAGGAAAGTAGAAGAAATTGACCACCAGGCTTGTTATACTAGTTAAAATGTATGGAAACTCAGAGGAAAGTCAGGTTATTCCAGATGACAAAAGGTAAACGTCCACTAGAACTGCATCCAGAGATACTTCCTGAGAAATTACTGGTAACCATCTCTGTGGTCCAGCTCTCAGTGTGCTGCAGAACTTAAGCCATGGAAGGGCGTAAAATATCGTGATCTGGCATCATACCATATTGGTACTATGGAGCTAGCCATCAATTTGATCCAACAGCTTTAAGGAGAAAACAAAAAGAAGAAAACTCAACAGAAATGGAAGTGGTTTTGTAGATGTGCTTTTCAGGCACACAGAAATGCTAGTGATGACTTCTGAGATAAGTTGGCAGCAGACTTGTTTTAAGCACTGAACTGGTGTTAGACTCCTAGATGTTAATCAGGAACATAAGATTAAGGGAGCGTGGAATTTAATTCTGAATGTCATTCTTACCTCAAAGAACCAAAAGAAAAACCAGCTGCTGGTCAGGAAGATAGGAGACGGTTGCCATAAAGCTTAGAAATTCAGCTGTGAGCCTAATATGTACAAATGAAACTAATTAGCTCATGACATTATGAATGATTAAAAAATTGATAGTTTTCTTTCATCAGAGAAAGGAAAATAGCAATACTGTAGCAATAAAGGCATGCAGTACAATTAAATACTGACATGCAGGAAAAAAACAGGCTAGGAAAAGAATTGTTCTGGGCTGGCCAAGGCACGCAATTTCAAATACCTGTTGAGAGTCTTTCTCCAATGACAGAAAGCAAGAAAATAATTTTAAAGGTCTGAGGAAGCCCCCAATAGACTTGACCCCCAAGTGCTCCTAGGAAATTTATAGTGAATGTTGGCCTGTTGAGTGTGGAATAACTTCTGTGAAATTCATGGGAATTATTAAACTAGACATGCTAAAAAGCTAGAGAATATGGAATTCAATACTCTGGCGCCTAATTTGACAAAAATGAAGACAGTAACTGGGAAAGGTGTATTCACCCAAGAACTGAAAATCTGGAAATTGATCAAGAAGTCTTGATAGCCAAGTTAGCACATGAGCTAATCATTCGCTTGGATGTGATTATTGCTAATGACTGCCTAATAAATGCCAGAAACTGTGTCTTAGAAAGCAAGCTTGTAGAAAACCCCATTCTAAAAGTGGCTCAAGTTTGCAGATGGTAAGCAGTAGGTTTTTAAATGATATCATCCTTCTAGAGTTCAAAGCTCTGATAGTGTTTTACATTCCCTCCTCAGGCAAGGAAATATGGAAAATAGTTGACACTTGCTTCAGGGTGACATTAGCTGCTGTTGTTAAAGAAATGATTTGTTGCTCCACTTCAAATTTTTCTGATAAGCAACAGATAGTGTAAGGGAAAATCCATCACAGATTGTGATAGAACAGATGTAGTAGATACTGATAAGAAAAGGATGGGAGGATGAACTCACAGGATTTCCTCTAAATTTCTTCCAATTTGTATTGAATGTACAAAACTGAAATGGCCCAAGAGATTTTGTAGTCAGAAGTGAGTTCTTAGAAGCAAAGGCACAAATTACACTGCACAGCATAAGAGTAATAACAAAACTGAACAATACTGGTAAGTGCATAAGCCACTAAGGAAGATAATGAACCAATCTTGCATAAAAATAAATCTGCATAAAAGGTTTTGCATGCATTAGCTATTGTTTTAGATACCAAAGAAAGTGTAACTTTATTTTCCAAACTGGAGACTGGATGTCAGTGAAAATGGAGCCAAAATAACAAGGAGAAAAAGTTAGTACTGCTACTACTGTAGTATCACTGACTTGGTGGCAATTCATGTGTGGATGGAATTGTATATTTCCTACTTTCAAAAGACGTATGGCTACTTTCTCTCTCTCTTAACCTGTTTCCTGTGTTGGTGTCCAGAAAATACATTGAACAGGAACTGAGGCACTTCCATGTAAGATGAAAGCACCAGCATGAAACTGAATCAAAGACAACGATTGCCTCATTGTTACCGAGTGTCTCCTATAACCCAGCAGTGCTGTAACTCAGCAGAAAATACTCCATGTGCACCCTTTCCAAGTTACTTGCTGTAAGAATCTCAGCTTAGAGCCAGAAAAATGTGCAATTGCCTCCTAAAACTGGAACAGCCAATAACTTGTGAGGGCACTAGCAGTACCGCCGGTTGCTCAGATGCTGGCAATCAGCACTTTCTTGTAACTGAATAACTTAAACAGTTTTCCTAATTCTTTTTCCAATAAGAACTAAATGCACTGAAACTAGAAGCAGCCCCAGAGACTTATTATTGCTGTTATTATATTATTATGATATTGTTTATTTCTGTTAATCTTGAGGCCCCGGTGAAATACAAGCACAACAAGAATGTCTTAGCAAATCTGGAAATCTGTATCTGAACTGTGGGCTGAGAGAACACATATTAAGTTCAACCACTCCAAGTAAGACCAAGTACCATTGTATCCCCCACCACACGACCTGGTTTCCACTGGAAGAAACACCAGAGAGATGTGTCAGGAAAGAGAGGGGATGTGATCTGATAGACACGATGCACTCTTTCTGAACAATGAGGGAATTAAGTCAGTAATGTTCATCGCTTTGAAACTCAGACACTGTTGCAGATTCCTGTAATCTACAGCGCATCCACCAGCCTCTACCATTCAGCACTGGGTGACATAAGATAGTCACAGAAGAGGGCCTAAGGTAGTTTCTTTGGTGAAATGGTTCATAGAAGCAGAGACAAGCCTAAATCCCATTTTTTCTTGTGACTTACATATAGGATAGCTATCAGTAAAAGTCCAAACCAGATCCTGTTTATTTGGTAGCAGTAAATGATCTCTTAGAAGACTATGGCATTCCTAAAGAGAAGCAAGATTAATTCAGACTGCTTGAACAACACAAAACCAACATAATCTAATCCTGAACAGAATCACACTCTTGTAAAGGAAAATTTGAAGAAAATGTTTGACTAAGTGAAGGGATAAATACGAAAAAATGCCACATGGGAAAACTTGAAAAAGAAGGGCTGTTTCTATTAAATGGTCTAAGAAAAGGCACAAGAGAGAAAAACTGAGTAAATCTTGATAACTCATATGGTATGTATAAATTAAAACAGCCCATATGTAGAAAATGATCTAGGTTGCACATACAAATCTTAATTTCCTCATAATGAGTAGAACTGGTAGAATCTTCACATTTTCATTCCCTCAAAGTAAACAGGTGATTTATATTTTATTTGACTCTGAACCAAAATAGAGTAAAACAGTTTTCAAGTTTCCTGCTAAATTAAAATTTTATGAATTCTAAATAAAAGTTTCTGATTTTGCAAATCAATTCAAAAATATTTATTTGTCACTTTAATACTATTTTTACTTCACATATACTATGAAACAGATTGCATCCTCTGGTTGTCCACAATAGCAGAGGGCTGACCCAAATGATTAGTTTTTACCCCATAATTTATATTTTTAAGTAATATAAAAATATTGAAAAGAAAACATCTATATAATCCAAAATGGTGTTTTGGTTCAATAATCTGATATTGCATATATTTATAAAATGGTAAATTCTGTAACAGAACTTTTTCCCATAGAAATTTTTACTGACCTGAACTTGCTTTTATTTTTCAACATTTTAAATGCTCTCTTCATTTAGAACTTTTTGAAAACTGTTGGAAAAAAGGTTTTCCTCTTCTAGGCTGATAATACAATTCTGAAAACTTCACTGGTAATGTCATTGAAACCCAAGCCAGTCCTCAGGGACTCAGAGAAAGGAACTCCATCAGAAAGTTTGATCAGGCAGCGAATGAAAAAACTCAGAAGTTATTTAGATTGGAGTAAAATTTTTTTGAGCTGGCAAAGGGAAAATAGCCTGTTGAAGTCATGTCATCTGTAATTTGGTAAGTTATTTATTTTCTTTTAATCCTATTTGAAGTATCAACATTTCCAGTACATTAGCTTGATTGGCAGAGGTATTGTATGACTTGGGATAAACCCCAGTAAAACTGTTCATTCCTATCTAAGATGCTGCAAGTTCTGAAGGAGTTCCTCTCAGCTGAAAACATCCATCATCAGCAACATCATCCGATGCCTGTTACTGCTTAATGTCACAGCAAATCAAAACTTTGGAGGGATAGACAGCAACATTCTTTAGTGCATATGCCTGGGCCTGACCTCATTTTAATCTTGGTAACTGATCTGAAAGAAACTGTAAATCATGGGAAATAATACTGAACTAATTAAGTAAAAAGAATATTATGATTTAAAAGTAACAGGCTTGACAAAAGGTAGCTCATAAGACTGCAGGACCATATCACTATAGGCAGAACTATCTGGTTCAGATAACAAGAAGTACTATTTGAGATCTAACACTGCTATGAACTGTACAGCTACTCCACATTTTTCACCTTACCATTTTGTATTCTTTCCAGCTTTTTTGAAAATCCAGACTCCCATCTTCTCGGTGCTGTATAACCGTCCATCCTCCTCCAGCAATTTCCATGTTGCAAAAGACCTATGTAGTAATAAAAACCAAAATAAAACAAATCCCAAACCATCAAACAAAAAAAAACTTGCATCAGAATCCTGTTATCTTAGGGGGCAAAAAATATTTGTGAATACAGAAGTAAGGAAGCCCTCAATGGTACTCTCAATCACTTAAATACAACCGGAGCTCTCCTTTTGTTCAGTGTAATTCTCCCAGTAATGTCTCCTCTTCTTTCAGGACATTACCCAAGAACATCTCCCCATCACCCCTCTCTGCATCCTCAGCTTTCCTCTTCACATTCCCTCCATGCTCCTTTTATATTTTCTCTGCAGTGCCCCTAAAACCACTCCCTTCCTCTTAACAAACAAGAGTATTTCTTTCAGTGGTAATAATATTTTCTATTGCTTTCAGCAGAGTATCATTCTGTCTAAGAAAGAATCTTCAGAAATTCTTACAGAAAATACCCATTCAAGGAGTCCAAAATGTAGCACAGATGAGAATATTCTGTTTTGCTTTGTATTGTAATGTTACCTACAGTGTGCCAGGCAATGTCTCAAAACAGAGAGCTGATCTTAGTCTAAGCTGCCTTGCAGCTAACAGAGGATACACATAGGAACAGGCTAAGAACAGAGGGCTGTGGGACAAGCTCAGAAGTTAAGACCTATGCTGAATATTTAAGATCATACCCTGTCATCATTGAACCAACAAAATTCTAGCTTAGATACTGAGATTCTCTCTATTAAACGTAACTTAACAATTTGACAATTTTGCTGAAGCTTGATGTTAGAATATTGCATCAACTGAGATCTGTTAATGATCTTAAATAATCCATAGAATAATCAAAATGGATATTTAATTTTGATCCATTTTTCACTCTTCTTACATTATTCTTTCAAAAATATAGAAGAATAATTATGAAAAAACACTAATACTACTTAGCCATTCACTTGGTATGCGGCAAGTGATAGTAGTAATTTTTGTACATATTTTTATATGACACTTGATATTAAGATCTGACTGTGTTTCTCAGTGCTACTCATTCAAGCAAATTTTCCTGATTTTCATTCCCATGGACTCATCCCTGCCATATTGGCACTGCAACTGTTCTAAATTTCATTTGTCTGTGCTATTGAATATTTATATCCCTCTTTTTAAGTAAGATGTCAATGTGTAAGAGGGTTGAAGAGGTGTAGCCCATCAGCTTAGCTTTTGGCTTTCACATCAAGAATCAGCACTTTTCAGTAATTTAAAGCTTTAAGTTTCTTTGCCAAATTGAAGGTTACTATCCAATTCAGTTAAATAAAAATTCATCCCTCAGTTGACAAGAGAAACATATTCTACCCTCAGACAAGCAATTCCAAATCTTTCCTACTCATGAGCCTTGTCACGGTAATCCTGTGCAAGTGCTTTTGTTTTAAGTTGCTTCAGTCATGCCGAGTGAAGTCCCTGTATAGGTATAGGAAGGAAACAGAATACCGAACAGTGCAAACGTGAACTTGATTTACGGTAACCACAAGAAAACCCACAATTTTCTAGACAAACATTTTGGGCCTAATCCTCCTTCAGGGAAGACACTGTGAGTCAAAACATTTATCTACGGGATTTAATTTCTTTAGTCTGATTTACAGTGAGAATTTCTAAATGACTTACTTTCCTTATAAGTAATTTCAAGCTCCCATGAATCCACTGCCAATTTTTAAAGCATTAAATCCTCAGCTGTATCAAGACTCCTCATTTTAAATACATGAACAAACAAATGATGGGGTTTTCATACGAAAATATAATAAAATACCTATAAGAAGACTTTGATGTTTTCTGAATAATATAGCTGATTAAAAGAGAAAACTGTACAGTGAAAGAAAGATTTACCAGCAGCACATTATTCACTAGCCATCGTTCTGTGGTCTGGCACTTTCCATGGTGGTAGACAGAAACACCTGCCATATTAACGGGAATGCCAAGCCGATTATAGATCTTCACTGTGCGTAGCTCTATCCAACAAACGTCCTGGACTGCCTTCTGTCCCAGACAAGGTTAAGGCACTCAGCCAATGAATACCTTTTAACATGTTCTCCTATTTAACCCTCTACCAGAAAAGAAAAGGATGAAGACAAGTGCCTTAGAATTTGTATGCATCTCTAGATTCTGAGTTTATCACCAATAAAATAACCTGATTTAGATTAAAAGATCATCCAAAACATTGTGCTCATGCCCTTCCTTAAATGCATGGGTAAAAATACCCAAGCTCCTAAAAGGCATATATTAGATTATTTATACATATTTTATCTTTATGGACTAAATTATTAGAAATTTAATAATAATTATTTAGAGATAAGCCCAATTTTAAAGTAAACAAAAAGAGGGGGATTGCCACATACTACATTTTAAGTACATGCACACTAAGACATCACAAGCCTACACTGCTGGCATGGAGCAACAAGCTCAGGACCAGCCATCTGAGATTCAGGGAATGTGTCTTCTATGTAGAAACCAAGCCTGAAGGTAACCATGTCAGGATAACAGTTTCCACAGTATACAGGGCTAGCATACATTTAAGGCGTTAAAATTCTGGCAGATATGCTCAGAGAGACTATAGATACCAAATTGGTAGTAAGTCTATAGGCAGAAAGTGGAGGGGAAGGAGTGAAGGTTGTATTCATGGTAATGATGGCAACTGTTTTTGCAGAGCCTTAAAGACCCATATATATAGACCCCACTTGCAATTTACATTTTCAGTGCAGTGCACACGAAGCTGGTAGAAGTCATGCTTGTGACGGCACTAGAGAAGACAGTAAGAGAGTCAAATATTTGACTCAGGAGGAGATACGGAGGTTCCATGTGCACTCAGACCAGTCCCACTGGCCTGCTTCAGTTCCAAAATGGTGACAACTTCACTCCCGCTGCTCCTCTGCTCATCATCAGCCTCTGCTTCCTCTGTAGCTGAACCTACATCTGCAGGGGACTGAGGGGACTCTTGTCTTTGCTCTCACTATGGCCTAGGGATAATAATTTGTCAACCCCATCAGGCATTGCACACACACCCATATCAAAGTAAGCCAATTAATTAGCTTAATACTTTAAGCCTAACTTTTTCTCTTCCCGTCTCAAAAATATGGAATATTATTAAGATCCTTTTAAACAGAAATGAATCACTAATTTTGGTGCAGGGCTGGAAGACTAGTGAACTGAACTAATGAACTGTTGGAGCTGTAAGCAGAGAGGATAATTTTCTTTGAATATATGAGGGTAAAACAAGAAAATACTAGAACTGACATTAACATTTGTATATATGACAAAGGGATATTTTCTATATGACAAAGGGATATTTTCTATTGAATGGTAGGATTCTAGTAAGTATCCCTTAGGAAATACAAAATGAAATGAAGGTATATTTTTGTGACCTGAAGTATAAAATTACTATAAATGAGACAGTTGCCAGTGGCTGCAAGTATCACAGAAGGCAACAATAGATTAGGCCTCCTAAGACATGTCAGAGTTATGTATTGCACAATGCAATCCAGATAACTAAGATGGCTTTAAATAAGCATGTCTCCACGGAGTACCTATCAGGATATTAGCTTGGGTCCCAGAGCAATCTAACCGTGTCAGCATGGTGCTACCTCTGGGCTAATTAGTCCTGGCACAGTGCTGTATTGCTGTGATTTTGAAGCTATCTCAGCTGGAGTTAGTTCAGCTATCTCCACACAGCACTACCTTGCAGACTGTTAATATGACCTTAATGTCTGGAAAAAACATCTGTTAAAGGAATCACACTCCTCACTTGACTAACATCAACATGCCTGAGATTAGCTCTTACTGTGTTATTTCTAGGGCAAGACAGAAACAGGTGGTAGCAGAAACACCCTTAACATTCACTCTTACACTCTCTCTCTCTCACGCACACACACACATTTTCTTGCTAAACCAGGAAGCCTCCAGGAAAAAATAGTGCAATATCCGCTAAGTTGTGATGCCTGTATTGACAGCCATGTCTTCAAACAGGGATATAGCGGAAATACAGGGTGGCTTCCATAGTGCCATTGTCCTTACAGTACCAGTGAAATGGTTTTAAGGTAAATATACCTGAAGCATCAGTGCCACAGTGCTTTCAGATAACCATTGTTCTTCATTGCAACTCAGCTTCTGGGGATGGTATAAGAACTTTAATAAGGCTAAGAAAAGCCACTGCCAATTTGTGCATGCAATTTAAACTTTGATGTTACATCCCTGTTTTGAGTAGAACAGCCTCCATAGAACTGCTTTTATTGATCTTGTCCTGTTCAGTAATGCCTAAAGGGGTCTCTGTATTTTATGTCATGTCAATTATTTTTTCATTCATGTTCACCAGCGTTATATTGATTTTGGCCCATAGCACTCGCCCACCCCAATTCTACTCATGGTTTAATGAACTTTAATTCCTTAGTAAACTAGAACATCGTGACATTTATAGGCTTCCAAAGGCCTCTAAAAAAAAATTTCAGTTTAGAAATAAGTTTTATGTATCTTAATATCATCATAAAATTACTATAGATAATAACATTGGCAATATTTGCTATTGTCTTTTTCTGTTTGCAGGGTCACCATTTTACTGCAGTAAGAATAAGTTTACCAGACAGGTGGTTCCCTTCCTCTTGTTTGGCCCACTTTCTGGACATCACTGTATTTCACTCCCCCAGGTAACCAGCCCTTAGCCTTGTTGGGTTTGCTCCCAACAGGAGCAGAGGGACAGCCAGCATTCCTCCACATATAAGTTAGGTTTAGGTTACTCTTTCATGTTCCTAGCTTCAACTGACTCATGGATCTTAGCAACAAAAGCCTTCCAAAAAACCAGTCTCCTCACAGAATAATGTTCCATTTTCATCAAAAAAACGTCCCAAGGGCCTTTTTTGAGAAGGACAGGATTACACTTGCATCATCATTTCAAACAGTGCTAATATTCAGCATGTTGTTGTTTTTTACAGCCAAAAGCACTCTTCTCTGCTCCCTACAAGAGAAGCAGGACTTTTGTAAATCTTTATCTTTAAAAACTACTCATTCTGCTATATCTTTCCCTGTGCTACAGATAATCCACCCATCAGCTTCCTCATTATAGCACTTTACTAATTCCCTTCTAAACTTTGTCAAGATTTATTTGCAGCCATAGTCTGATACAATGGAGCTTGCCAAGTGGGGGGGAGTGAGTCAACTATTGAGTGTATGTTGGAACTTAGGAAGGATTCTCTGTCAGCGAGAAAGAATAATGTGTGGAATAATACAGTTTATCATTTTTTTCACTCTATTATATTTTTTTCAAGACTGAATATAGCCTAGGTTATTTATACCAGTACAACATTTTGCAGAATGAGAACTTCAATAAAGACTCCAAATGCTCCTTTAAAGCCAGAACAACATTGATATTGTGTTAGCAAAAAGGAAAATAAAACAAGTATTTACATTACCTTTTTAGGATCTGACACATTGTTAATATAAATAGTGTAGACTCCACTTTTGTTAAAACCAGATTGGTATACATCCGCACAGTCTCTGAAAGGCTTTTCTTCTTCCTTTTTTGCATTCTTTAGTAAAACTGCAAAACAAAAAACCACGATAATATATGTTACAACAGCAATCTTAACCATTTCTATATCAAGGAAGTCCACTTTTGCATACTGTATTCCTTTTAAACACACAGAGTAATAACCATACTATAGTCCTTACACAGCTAGTGCATTTGGTAAATTCTATTAAAGAACTAGCATGAATTTTTCAGACAGATGACAGAGTAGGCACCAGCAGAAATAAGACACAATGCAAATAGCTAAACAGAGCATCCTGTCTACCAAGAGGTGAACACAGTGCATTTCTTCTGAGTGCAAAGGTCTGTGCAGCAGCAGGCCCTGCCTCTGACTCAAGCTGTATCTGTGAGGCTGCCAAGGAATGCCCCAGAGATGGAACATGCAGGTAGAAAACTTGTTCAGTGTGTGATCTGATACAGATGTTCTCCAAAGACAGCGACACAGAACCCTGGAAGAGAGCTTTTGCCCTTCCCCCATGAGATACTACATTTTGAGCAGCCTAGGTGCTTGGGGCAAGGGAACTGTTGGCTTAAGTTATTTTTTTTTGGCAGAGAATAATTTAATGATTTTCATATCTGCATACATAAAAGTTGCTAGATATAATTAGTAGAAAAAAAGAAGAAAAATCAGTGCTACTGAAGTCAGTTGTTTAGAGCAGTGATTTATTGAAATTATTTTGGGCTCAGAACAGGAAAACAATTAGAAAACAGTTAGAACACTAGTGCAGATCTTGATCCTGTGTATTGCAGACAGACATGATATATGAGTCTGGGCTGAGAAATCAGGAGGGCAAGATATTTGAGGATCCCAGTCTTGAACAACCAGGAGATTTCCTGTAGAAGGAGTAAGATCTGAGAGTGTTCCTTCCCTTTCACAAACAAAAGTAGCGTGACCTTACATGATACTGAAGGATATGACTTCATTCCAACAACATATACTTTAAGCACATCAGTATTCCTGTGGAAATCCATCAGTCTACCCAGATTCTTAAAGTTAAACATGTCTTTAAGTGCTGTGCAGGGCCCAGGCCAGCACTTCATTAATCCCTACTATAAGGAAAAATTGTTTAAATCCTGCAGACACACTCATCTTCTTGTGATAGACACATCTTTTTCCATTTTTGGCTTGAAAGTGTCAGTTATAGGTACAAAAGGGACTACCCCTTATTCACTCTCAATGAAGCGGCCTGTGCTGCAAAACTGGTGCTTAATGACAATGGTGTGCAAAAAAGCAACAGCCTTGCACAGCATGTGGGACTATCCAGGCCATGAGACTGTATATGATAATGTCAAGGCTTTGTCGCTTGATATACTATCTCCCGTTTGAACACCTCAAAGCAGTATTTTGGGATGGCAAATTCCTGCTTGATCAATTGGCATTAACACCATTTCACAGATGAGGAAACTGAGGAAGAAAAAGGTTAAATGTTTTCACTCAGTGGTTTTGTGAAAAGGTGAAAATAGATAAATAGTGAGACATAAGAAGTTCCTCACTGTGAAGGTGGTGAGGCACTGGGACAGGTTGCCTAGAGAGGCTGGGGATGCCCCTTGGCAGTGTTCAAGGCCAGGCTGGATGGGGCTTTGAGCAACCTGCTCTAGTGGAAGGTGTCCTTGCCCATGGCAGGGGGTTGGAACTAGTGATCTTTAAGGTCCCTTCCAACCCAAACCACTCTATGATTCTATGAAATCCAATCATGAACTGTAAGACTATTCTGCTCCCTAGGTAGGCTTTTTACACATGTTGTATTCTTTTTTCCCTTTTATGTGTTTTATTTTGTTCTTCTAAATTTTGATTTTAACAAACAAAACACCCTTACTTCTCCCTTTCCATGTATTTGCTGCATATTTATTATTTTTATTCAACTTCACCAATAAAAATAAAACCTGGTTCATATACTTGCATATGAATTCCAAATGGAAAATCAATAGGGTTGAAAATTGGCACATTTGGAAAAGGTAGTGCTGGCAATACAGTAAATAACATGCTTCCCTGTGAGATGCCAGGGAATGTGGTCCTCAGCAAGCTAGATATCAATTGTGCACCCTCAAAGGTGCCATTTTTTAGATAAGACATAGAACTGAGGCCTTCACGATTTGTGTTAATTAAAGATTTCACGGTACATTCCTGTAAGCAGATGGTGTTAGTATCAGTGGCCAAAGTCCAACTTGAATAATTACTTGGGGCTGGAGCCAAAGCCTAGAGGAGTTAAAGCAAAGCCTCTCATTGATTTCAGGGAGCTTTAGGTTAGATCCATTCTTCCTGGCCTGAATTTCTCTAATGGTGTTGTTTCAACTACAGACATCAGTCTCTTGCCTAAAAAATGCATTTAGTCGTGCAGAGTCAGTGTTCATTTACTTGACTCTTAAAGTACTCATATTTTAATAACCGTATGTAAAGAGATTATCTTACCTCTATTCAACCATTATACACAAATTGAAAACTACTTAGAAATAACTACTTAAGAGTCAAACAAGGAAATTTGAATTTGATACATTTTTAACCAAAAGTTAGACAAAAATATCATGAGTATATCCTAAAGTTCATATTATTTAAATTCTAATCAAGGTACAATTTTAATTTCACAGTAATTAGAATCAGATTTGAAAATAAATTTCTAAGGAGAAGATCTCTAGGAAGCATACTTAGAAATAATTTTTTTCCTCATGCTTAAAGACTAGAAAAAAAACACAATAAAACTATTGTTAATGTAAGAGATGAAGGTGACAAGGACAGAGAGATGCCATAGATATGCCCAGTTCCTTCCATCCTTCCTCTCAGTACCAAGACAGCTGAAATACCTGAGACCACAGGCAGCAGATGTGTTAATTTCTTATAGACTAAGCAACCCAATATCCTTTTTTTGCAGCAGTGTTTTTTATTCAGTGAACCACTGTAGCCAGAAGAAGGTGACTTTCCTTGGGTGCCTGTCATGCCTCTCTCAGGAGTTGCTGCTCCCACTAGAAGAAAAGCTCAGCTCGTTATGAAGGAGCTGAACTATTACAGATTGCAGCACAGTTTATTAAGCATGACCAGCACGAAGGTTAGTTTTTCTTAATACATCAGACTGTAATTTGCAAGAACAGTCCAAAGTTATCAGAAAATTAATACTCAGGAATGTTACTGGTAATGTTCTTTTAGGGTAAAAGATGTTTTTTCTAAGGTTTGCTGCTGTTTTTCTAACTTAATATTCCATACAATTTCCAAACCACTTCTACCTACTTTAGCTCTAGACTGTTTTTTCTATAACATTACATAGACCTTGAATCCTTTATACATTAAGTGAAGTTCCTGAATGATGCATTGGTTCACATATGATACGTGTGTAAATAGATTTTTTAGAAAGTAACAAGGCTCAAAGAAAGTAGTTCTAAGACAAAATATATAGTCATTACATTTCTTTGTTCAGCTTCAAGACCTCAGTTGACTTTACACAGGTTTCTAGTGTTAGTTTAGCTTTTTACAAATACAATGCTTATGCCAAAGTTTTATGTACCTGAAGAAAATATAAGTCTATGTCAAGGAAAATAATATTATCATTTTTTAAATGTGAATGCTCAGCCAAAATTTGGACCCCTAGAGGATTCTTCTGATTGCCTTTTCTGGATGAATAAACTGGTTATGAAGTCATGCTCCTTTGAAGCAATGAAGCCTATGTGCAAAATCCTGCTTTCCTGCCTGAACAGAAAGGGAATTAACGAGAGAAATAAGTTATTCTTTCATTGCACTTCTCAAAGTCTTTTGGTTCATTTTTAGCCCAATAACTTTCTCCTTGGGCTATGCTACCTGCGTTTCCCTACTTGATGAATGCTTTCTTTCAGTTGTCAGTCTTTTGGCTATTTCTTTTCCTGGATGCCCTGGATAATGATTTGAGTTCAGGCAATACAGCAGGTACCATTCATAATTGCCCAGAGCTCTATCAGATGGCTGCTCCCATGTAGAGGCAACAGCCCTGGCAGTGCAACTGCTCTGCAGCCCCATGGAGGAACAGGTACTCAAATCAATGAGGTTTCTGCTAACCCACAGCTGTTCTACTGCTCCTACTAACATGGTATTAACCTTCAGTATGAACCTTTGGTAGAAAGCCAGGGTCAGCACCTGAGGTTGTAGCCTCTTCAGTTTTCTTAGAAAGGGTTACTACTGCTTGCAAGTGAGATTGCTCAGAGATGTAGGGTCTTTTCCCAAAATAGTTAGGGAAACCTGTTAACTGATTGTTAGGGATGTGTGCCTCTGTGTAGGTTGAGACTATTTTTCTGCTATCAGTTATGAAAATAAGTCAATAGTAAATGATTCTAGTTCGTAATTGCTATCACAAATGAAGGATGCCTGTTCTTCTGCCCGGGTTTAAAGAAATACAAACTGACTACTAAGGATAAATAGTTTCTGAAATATTTAGGAATATGAAATATAAACCATATAATATTAGTTTTACTTTTTTCCTAGCTGTATGAAAATTATCTAATCTCATCTCTACTAGAAAAAAAGTATTTAAAAACTAATATACTTGATTTTTTAAATTGAGATTTCTGGTTGTTTTTGAGAAAATGAAGTGGTTATCTCACTGCTTTTCAAGTCTCTATCAGATATTTGGTGAATGAATAGTGCAGTTTGTAAGCAATAAACGATCATAGACTGCAGTTCATTATGTTGACTGAATCAATAAAAACAAATTGATATTTACTATATTATTTAAGATCTGAACTGCCATGTTTGTGAAATCAGTTGAGGCTGAGTTAATCACTAGTCTTATGTCCTTTAGTGATACTGACAGCAAATGAAAGGCAGCTGTTGGGTTTTTTGCATGATAGTGACTTATTTGGACAGATATGCAGAGATTTCTGTGTGTCTTAGTGAATTATTGTATTTTCATTGTTTTAATGTTTTATTTACATGAATCTAATTTTCTTGTAGGACTTAATAATCATTCTACATACTGAAAGACACTTAAAAAAATTCTTCATGCTTTTGAAGCCAGAAAGGAAAACTCTCTTTCCATATCTCATTGGCAAATATA